TATAATAATATATATAAATACATGGTATTTATAAATGTAAGGAGTATGGGGGAAGAACCCCCACTTACTATAAGTCTATTAAATTTTAAAACAAATAAATGAATCCTGAATACGCCACTGAATAATACCATAGACCTTATAAGGTCTATGGATAATACTAATAGACAAAGGTGGGCAAGTTAATGAAAATAATTAACTCGAGTTTAGTTAAGAGAATACAAGATCGATAAGTTAAAAGTTAATAAGGAAAAAAAATATTAACTTAACTCGGTTTAAAAAAAGTTAATCTACTTTTTTTAATTAGTATATAGATCACATAAAAAGTGACTGCGTTCTTTAGAAAGATCTAATTTCCTAATTTATAATAAACAATTTTATTGAATTTTTTATCATAATATACAGCAGTGACGCCGAAGTGTTTGAAAAATACTATGACATTGTACATCAAGGGCCACTCCTCACTACCGTATTAATTCATCTTTATAATTAAAATTATTTATAATATTATTATATAATATTATGATCCACGGCTAGAACACAATACTCAAATCTGGGCCCCGGCCTAAAAAATCTAATACGACATCTGATGTACAGTGTACCTATGCGACATTTTTACTTTACATGATTATTTAATTTTTATATTAATATTTATGTATAAACGAAAAATTTTAAACATTTTTAACTTGTTAGATCTTTTTTAAATCAACTGTGAAAAGGTAAGTTATTTCAACTGCCAATTAAACTAGTTAAGTTAAAAAATTTTAAAAAAATTAACTTTTTAACTAGTTAATGCTCACCTTTGCTTATAGATGAATTTAAAAAATAAAAATCGTAAAATACCCAATTCTAATGAAAGCTGATTTCACAGTTTTTTAAAGATTGTATAATTTTCTATATATTTTTATTTTTTTTTATCGTATACAAATATAATTTATAATAGTATATATAAAAAAATCTAAATCACGTTTTTTTTTAGTGATTCATTGAGTGCATCTTTGTGATATTCATATTTTTATTCCAAGTAGTATCTAAAACGAAAAAGAAGGAAAATAACTTTCGACGTTTTTATTTCTATATAATTACAAAATAGTGATTCTTTGGTTCAAGTTTTGAATACTTCAAAGGCGAATATCTATACTTAATATACGAATACTGAAAATTAATTGTTTAGTCATAAATATTTCAAAATGGGTCTGTAAATATGTACCTATAATATTATACTCATATTTCAACATGCTTGTATACAATATTATGTTTTCATGTTATACAGTTTAAAAAATCTCAACAACGCGTTTTATATTGATTAACATAAATTTAGTATATTTAAAACACTTAACAATTTTAACAAACTTAAAGCAATCGATTATACAATGCCAAATAAAGTTCGTTCTTTTACACTTACTATGAAAATAGTATTCATTAAAAAAGTTTACAATAGAATAAACCTTTAAAATATTGTTTGCAATTTAATATAATTTAATGGTTCTTGATTGGATACAAAATTAAATTACTGAGCATATCTACAATCGTACTGTGTCTTATACTACATTCATTGTCCATCATTAAGTTGTTTATTAAAATAAATAGTGACACGTGATGTTTAATGTGCAATTATTTTTGTATAGAAAAGCCATTCTTCAATTCAGTCTTTATAGCATTAAACTTAACGTGTCGCAAATGATTTAAATAAACGTCTAAATGACGGATAATGAATATCGTATAACACACAGTATACCGCATTTGGTATGCTCAATAATTTAATTTCATATTCAACCTAGAAGCATTATATTACATTGAGCTGTAACGAAAATTTAAAGGTTTGCTTGATCGTAAACTTTGAACGAATACTATTTCCATAGTAAATATGAAAGTAAATTATTGTAAGCCATTTAAATTGCAGGGGACTCACCCCTCAAAATATGTGTACATATAATATATCTATAAGGAAAGCCTTTACTCTGTAGTGCAGGCATAATGAATAATTAGCTTTATCAAGATGACGTTTTAATACATTATCAAAATGTACCTACACTAATCTACAAAAAAAAAAACGCCGAATTTCACTTTTGATTATTATTTAGTTTATTTTTTATTACGCCCTTTCGAAGCCAATTGAAAAACATTACAAAGTCCAACGCTATTATGATATAATAATAACTTTCAAATTTTAAAATATATCAGAATCAATGATTGTATAGAAATGTCACGAGTTATAAATTAAACTTCATAAAATTTAGATATTAGTAAAAACGAATACAAATCATGCGTTTCTATCTTTATAGTGTAAAAACACTGATTATTAATATTTATTTATCTGATAAAAAAGTATAACTATAGACGTTTTTACACTTAATGCATAGAAACACATGACTAGAATACGGTTTTACTAATACTCAATTTCATAAAATAATTGAATCGTGACATTTCTGCAATCATCGATTCATCTATTATTTTATATTTGTAATATTTTCTATATGAAGTTCAAATTATAAACTATAAAGTTTTGTAATAGGTACAACTTATAAAAAATAATGTAATAAATATCATCTTTTCTATCTAACATAGAAAGAATGTTTGTTTGACAGTGACTATGAAAAATATATTTGTTTTAATATTTCACTTTTATCAGTTATTGGCTAAAATAACATCATAATGATAAAATTCTGGCCAAAAATGCAACATCTGTAACGTTATACTGAAATTTGTATCGAAAGGACATGATAAAAAATAAACATAACTCAAATAGGAAATTGTTCGTACCTTATTCAATTGTAGCGAAGAATTACAAATATGTAATGTTCTAAAGACCATTTTGAAATAGCAAATCATTCAACGTAACTACACGTAAAGACTTACCCTTACACATTAACTACATTCACACATGTTTGGAGTGGCCAATTGTTATTTCAGAGGTATTGGACCCAAAAATTTATTTCCAACCCCTGTATTAAGTGTGTACTACTCTTAACATCACGAGCCGCTTCTACGTTAACTTTTATTTAGAAGCTTTGTTGCGGTATTATGTTGATTGCTTGATATCAATTTATTTTCACTCGAAGTTCGCGGTTTCTGATTAATATTTTTATACCTGGACTGAATATGATCATATTTCGTCGTCTTTTTTGCAAGGGGTTTTTCTATTACTTTCGAATTTACGATTCTTTGTTGTATCACTTTAATCTTTGGCTTCGAGTTTTTCTCTTTTTTCTCACTATTACTTGCAGTTTGCGATTTCAAATAATCATTTTTCTCTTTTGTCCATATTTGTTGGTAATCCATCGATATTAAAGACAACATATTCGGTTTTTCTTGTTTAATCTGGTAAGATGGTACGAACTTCGGAACATAGGTATAATCGGAAGCAACCAAATTATCACGTCGTTTCATCGAGACTGCTGGAACGAATTTTGTTTTCTTGAAATGTGCCATTTTATTTTTAGAAATATTATTTCAATGAAGACGGACTTAAAAATAAACGAGAATCACTTATAAGATTAAATATAAGAGAACTAATAATTATAAATAAATAAATATTCGTAACAGTTATTGATATTTAACTATTGTTATTTTATATCACTTTAGCAACGCGAATCGAATTCGCTTCGTAACAGCATAAATAAAAATAATTTAAAAAAATATTAGTACATAATAATATTTATATTAATAAGAATATATAGGCCCGGATTAACACTATCGTTGGCCCTAGGCGCCTAGTCCTTGCAGAGCCGTTGTCCAGTATTTAAATGATTAAGAAACCTTCTCTTTGAGAGAGAAAGTGTGTAGAATCTCATGCAATAATAAGCTTTTAAAAGCAATAATATTTACAACATAAAAATCAAATCTAATTTTTTATATGATAACTATTAACTATACGATAAAAGTTTTAACAGATGTCAAAAAAATTTATTTTAATCCAAAACATATATGATATAAATTGTCAATTACCATAAAAAAAATTTTTTTTTATATCAATTTACATATTACAAAAAAATCGTAGCTACACATTTTCGTAAGCCCTAGGCACAGTGCCTATAGTGCCTATGCACTAATACGGCCCTGAGAATATGTAGTAAAATGTCAAAGTGCTACCATTGTGTTTGGAAGAACATTATAATTTTCCATTTCCAAGAAAATGAATAAGTATACCTTTGTGTAAAAATATATTATTTACGGTTTTTTTTATTTATCTTTGGTGCATTTTTAAGATCTTTGTAGCCGTGAATCCGGAGAGATGGCCGCAATTTTTCGAATGGTACGTGCAATTACTCCGCGATGGTTCTGCGCGCGTACCAGAGAACGTCTACAAAGCATAAGTACGCTTGCGATTTTGTAACATAATATACATATATACAGTCGAAGTGACTGTAGCTTTGGGCGTAGGTGAAGCTGTGCCGGCCGCGCAATCAGGATTCGAGACAACAAGGTGAATTTCTGGAGGCACGTGCGCAACGAGAGAGTCGTGCAGGGCGTGAACATGTGGCCCGAGATTATGACAAGACCGGAAGATGCAGTTACGGCAGAGACGATAGCGGTGACATCGGCCCGGTTAGCAGCACCAGGAACGGATACAATAAGTGGTTCAACGCAAACCAGCTGGTGCCATCATTTAGACTGGTGCACGTCAAAAGCCACTATCCTGATAGCCATCAATAGCAACCAGGGAACCCGTTCAACACCCAGAAGAAACCGGAGGACCGGTTCAACATCCTAGAGAAACCGAACAACCCGCCCAACGTCAAAATCATGTACAATTGTGCGCAGGGTCGAATTTAGAACAAGTGCCACCCTAGGCCCTTTTAAATATGCCACCCTTACCCCAAGAAAAAATAATCTTGTAATTATTTCTAATAAATTTATTTAATTTTAAAGAAAATAGGTCAATAGTCATTATAAACAAAACAAATAATTATCAATTCTAATTCATCGTATGCGATGTGGATATCTCTAGCCAACTTCTATATATATTATATTATTATCGTAATTACTTTTAGGAACAACTTATATTATGTACCTAGGTAGGTATCTTATCTTTATAGCTCACATTACGAGAAAATTGATTTCGTGTTATTGACATTTTCAGTGTCATGCGCCCGTATATTTTACAGACAGATATCTATACTATAATATTAAATATTATTTATATTACTATTAAATATTATATAATATTAATTTATGCAGTTACATAAATGCATAAAATATTTATATGATTTTTTTTTATTTCTTATAAAAATTGCCGGCCTAGGCATAAATACAGCCCTGATTGTGCGTTTATTGTCCTTATTGTTGTGAAACTTATTTAATAAGTTTTATATTTCATTGCTTCTAATTTACTTTACCAATTTATTTTTGATCTTGTATTTATTTTATTCCAACGAAATATAATTCTTTATATAAATCGGAACTTATTTTACTGTTAATTTGTGACATTCGACCTGATTCGACTAATTCGTTTGTATGTATAATATAAATTTAACATGTGTTTTCATTCTTTGTTGTGTATATTTTGTAGTTTACTTGTAAATGTTAAAATAGCTCGGAACTTTATGCACTTGAAAAGTACTAAATATACATGCACTAATGCGCTTAAAAAAGAACATATATGCATTAAAAATATGCACTAAAATTTTTTTTAACACAAAAATGTTCATAAATAAAGATATTTTATTAAATATACTTGCACATAACAACAGTCCAAATGTTGTTAGTTTATTATACTAAGCTAAACATAATTTCTATGCATAAATATATAAGATAAAAGAAAATAATAAAAATAGCTTGAAATTTGAAATTTTATTACAAAATGTTCCCATTAAATTATAAACATTTGTAAGACATAAATAAACATTAGACAAAATGATTAAAACCCAATTCATAAGTAAGAAATAAATTTCGTTTTTACCTGCACAACTATTGCATTGATCCACTAAACATTTTTTTAATGTTTTTAAAAGTGAAAAGATTGCCGACTATCCGATTAATGCAATCAACGATAATCATTAAATTGTTAAATATAAATAAAACTGTACATTTTGTGTCAACCTGGGATTTGAGTATCATGATAGGTAAAATGTCTAATGAAAACTTTCAAAATAAATATTTTATTATTGCTAACATTTTTAACATTATGTTTTTATCAATTCTAATCTAATATGTTCTAAAAAATGGCAAAATTAAGAAATATGCCCTTAAAATTGCTAAACCACTAAACATGTAAAAATATGCACTATATAAACTTGTAATATGTTTTTCTTAGTGTCATGGAAATAATTTAAAGGTTACTTAGCAATAAATTTAAAAGCCCAATAAAAGCATGCAAATGCAACGTTTTTCAAGCCTTAATTATTATGTATAATGTTGTCATAGAATATTAAATTATTACTCTTAAAATCGGTAACCACACGTTCAAAAGTTCACTGAAATCAACTTCACGGTAACATGTGGTTAGTAAGGTAACTTGTGATTTATTATAAGGTATACTTTGAAGCAACACATAGTTCAGCCAATCAGAAATAATTATTTTAGAAGACACGACACGGCACGGTGAAGTGTGAACTCGGCTTAACATATAAATAGTCATTATTATATATATTTTATTCATACTCACAGCTTATAAAAAATTTATAATAGTTTAAATTATATAATTGTTCACAAAACAAAAATTTCAAATTTCTGCAATAGCAGATATTTTTCATCATAAAATGTGTAAAAAAGAAATATTCTTTAAATACATTTATATCATGTCCAAAACTGATTTTGAAACAGATCTAGGAGTAGAAGTAACATCTCTTGTTTCCAATTGTTCTTTATTTTCTTGTTTTATTTTTATGACTGTTTCTTCATCATTTTCGTCTTCATTCACGCTTAAACTAGCTATTTCTTCCATAAGTACTGGTTCAATTTTTAAAGCCTATCACATTGTATTAATATATTAAAGAGTTACAAGTATAAATATTACTACAGCTATATTTACATACCCCATCAGGATTTAATGTTTCATATTGGTGTTTTAATGTTTGCAGTTCAAAATCACTTGAACTACATGCTGCTTTTAATTCATTTAATAAAACTATTTCATTACGTAAATCATTATAATTTTGGCAAACTTCTTCAGTCGGAATAGGATTTAATTCTAAAAAGAAAATATTCTTCTATTTACTATTAAACAAAACAACATTTCAAATACAATAATGTACACAATACATACTAATTTTCAAAGATTGTAGGGCTTGTTCAACATTTTTTACTTTTTTTTGGCTAACATTTGCTGGTATTTTCATTCTTTGAGAACGAGTAGACACACCACTATTTTTTATATCAGGAAATTTAATAGTAGTGGCTTCAAAATTCTAAAAACCAATAAAATCATAACATAATTGGAAATTTATTAAATATGTATAACTTTACATTTGGATCAACTCTAGTTGGTCGAACTGGAACAGCAATGCGTTTACGGTGATGAGGTGTCTTTTTATCAATTTTTAAACTTTTCCTACTATCATTTTGTTTATCAACTGCACTTATTAATTTTTGTAAATCCTGAGTTTTACGGTCTCTATCACGTTTTCGGGCCTCAATTTTACGTAATTCTTGTAGTAACATTTGTTCTTCCTCAATCTAATCATTTATAAGATTACATATAATTTGCATAAATTGTACTATGTAAATGATAAATACTTGTTTAGGAGTTCTACTGAACAGTCTTTCCAATTGTTGTTTTCTACGAGTTTCATGTTCTGCGTCAAACATTTTTGCTTCATTGATATTGCCACCTCTAATCTAAAGAAATTCAAAAAAAAATATTATTAAAATATAAAAAATAATTATTTACTTACAACCTTTGTCAATGTATTACACACTGAATAATATCTATCCTTTAGATCTTCGGTAGATCGTTTAACAGCATTCTCATATTCTTCTAAGTTCCATCTGCCTTGAATGACTATAAAACGTAAATCAAAACGCTGGCACATATCAAAAAGACGATCAGTCTCCTCTCGACTCCATGTTTCTGATTCTAAATGTTCTTTGTATTCAATATCTGTATAACTCGGTATTTCAATTTTCTATTTAATTTTAAAAAATAAATATAAATAATATATTATTGTAATAACAAATAATTTAATACTTTTTTGATTAATACCTTGTTAAATTTAGCAAATGGATATTCTTTACCCTCATCAGCAACTCTTCGCCAATGGAAGAAAGCAACACCATCTTCTCGAGCTGGATTTATAAATGGAGCCCAAATCCAAGGACGAACACGTCGCATACCCAATCTAGCCTTTTGGAGCTTATAAGTAGGACCTAAATTTAATTTATAAATTATATAAATTGAAATCTGTAGAAAATATAAGAAAACTTACCAGTCTCGGTTTCAATAACAGGGGGGACATCTTTTTTATCATTGTACAACAAGGCATATACTTCACGAGCCATTCCTTCAGGTCTACGGTTTTGACGATTACCAGATGGTAGTGAAACTTTTTTCTTGTTTGTACCAAGTATATCTTCTTTAGAGACTTGAGGACCAGATCCTCTATCAATGTCCAAAATGTCACGAATATCTTCCGTCATCTTGACTGGTATTTGTTAACTCCTGTTTGTAATATATCTTATGAACTAGTAGAAGAATAATCTTGATAGCATAAATTTTTAAAAGACAAAATTAATTTACATTATTCTATTTAAGTAGTAAATGAAAAATAATATGTTTGGTAAATATTTTCTGTTTAAAAATAAAATATAAATAAATTGTGATAAACTGAAGACAAATTAAATTAATAGTAAATATTGTGATAACAAACAACCGAACACCGACTAAGATAGTAAGTGTTATCGGTGTTGCAGTTGAAAGCCATCGATTAATTCTGTGGCAATATTGCACAAAAAAATTATGATTATCAGAACTATAATTTATTACTTACAATTTAAACGTTAAAATAATGCAACAGATAAAATATATTATAACATTTAAAACAATTTAAATTAACGCGACTTGCATCTTTTAATTTTTACACATTTTAACTGATCACTAGTTTGTCGGATAAGCCTGGATACCGGATACCGGGTATTGTTTGACTGATATTGAATATGGAACAGTCTAAAGAAAAGTATGAAGTTGGCGAGTGTTAATGTTGAAACTTGATTGTTTATTAGTGCATAGTGTTATTTACCGAGTACTTTGAGAGTTGAAAGAAGTAAGATATTTAAGACATTAAAATGTTTGTTAAAATATCACTGCCATCTTTACCGAATTTCTTATTTTCTTACTTGGTGTTGAGCATATTATCGACAAGATAATAATAATTTGAATTTATTGTTCAAGCTCAGATTATATTAAACTTTATATAATCTGTGATTCAAGGTTTACGAATAAGCACACCGAACATTTGTTAAAATTAAATTCGAAAATTATATTATCGTTAAAATGTCGTCATGCTTGTATCGTTGTAGAAACATATAATTTTTGATCATACTCAATTGTATATGTGCTATATATGGTTAAATAGTGGTATAATGTAAACAATGGTTTTATAATAAAAACATTTAAATTTACAAAATAATTTGTATAATTTTTGTAATGACATTATTTTGTTAGATATGACAACAGCTGCTCGTCCAACGTTTGAACCAGCTCGTGGTGGCCAAGGTCGTGGAGAAAATGATCTTAGTGCTTTGTCTGTACAATATTCAAGCAGAGATTTACCATCCCATACCAAATTAAAATACAGGTAATATGTTCACATTTTGTAATCTGGCATTTAATTAATACCTATTATTACCTATTATTTTTTTATACAGAGAACCCGGACAGGGTACAACTGAAGAACTCCAAAAACAAGATTTTGCTAAAATACTTGATGAAAAAGAAAAAGCTGTTGCATCTAAAGCGATAGGAGGCGAACCTCCTATGTGAGTATCATAGTTTTCTTTAAATATAGAATTGTATAACTTATAAATTGAACAAATAATTTAAAAAAAAAATACGACCTGAACATGTACCAATCGCTACACTAGATGTTGATGATCCATTAGATCTTGATGCTTCTGATGATGATGACAGTGAAGATGATGCAGAAGAGTTGATGCAAGAATTGCAAAAAATTAAAAAAGAAAGGATGGCTGAAGAAGCTCGTATGGTAAATGCATCTCAACATCTATATAATTATTATTAAAGATTTTTTTTAAAACTGTTAAATTCGTTAAAAAAATATAATAGAATAAATAAGTTATAATTTTTAATTATATGTTTGATATTTGATTTTGAAATTGTTGTTCAAGTTAAAAAAAACCATCAGTTAAATTTCAAAGTATTAATTTAGATTACATTTTATAAAATATAAAAATAAAATTTTATTTTGATTGGAAGTTAACTTTGTATTTATTCTATAGGAAGCTGATAAACGTGAAGCTGAAGAACAAATCAGAATCCAAAATATTCTTCAAGGAAATCCATTATTAAGTTATGGATCAACGGTACCTAAAGTTAACCAAAAAGTCAAAAGACGTTGGAATGATGATGTGGTTTTTAAAAATTGTGCTCGCACAGAACCAGAAAAAAGCACTACCTTTATCAATGATTGCATTCGTTCTGATTTCCACAGAAAGTTTATGGACAAATATATAAAATAATTTTAATACCATTTAATGTTCATGTGAAGTTAATATTATCAATTTAAGGTCTTATTTTATTATATTGATATATTCAAATAAATAGTGTTTTAAAATTTCCATTATTATTTGTACACCGAAATTATTCAATATGTTAACTATAATTACATTGAGTATGTTTTGCATAACGACGTAAACTGTGAAGTTTGTTTCATAACTTAATATTTTTTCCTTATATTTATTATAAAGTCCCAGTTGTGCGTAACTATTTAACTTATATTTATTACTATACAATAACTTAAAATTATTATCTTTAAATTGAATATGGCAATAATGAATTTTATTTGGTTAGCGTTAAGTTTATATGTTAGTATTATAAATTACTATCTCCCGGTTGAGTAACCACACAATGTTCCATAACTTAAATCATAATACATTTGTATCAAAAAAAATGGATATTTTTATTGTATAAAACCTACAATATCCTGACTGCTGTAAAATTATTGTATGAACTAAAGATTATATAATGTACTTTAATCCTCGTTTATATTAATCAATATCATAAATACTAAAATAACTAATTACCAATATAGCACTAAATGCCATATCTTCTTTTTTAATGGATTGTAACAAGTAACATAATGTTTACAGCATTAACTAGATAATTGTTAATATTACTAAAATATACCAATAGTATAAAACCCCCTAGTATATATATTTCTAAACAAAATACAAAACTAAAATGTTAAAATCTATTTAAAAATATTAAAATAAATTTATACATGCTATACTTTTTAGAACAATTATTTAGGTTCTCTAATCCAACAATAATATCAAAATATAAGGCATTACAAAAAAATGAAGAATGAAAAATAAAAACGGTAGTATTTATGGTATGATGGATTTATTCAATAATTTAATTATCTTCAAAATTAAAAATAATGTAAATATTTAGTGATAAGAGATTTATTCAATAATTTAATTATCTTCAAAATTATAAATAATGTAAACATTTAGTGGTTAAGAGTGTGGTTCCAATAAGCTCGGCCAAACATTCAAATAATTTTTTTAATACATCTATGATTTTGTTACATTTAAGCAACTAATACTTCATATTCATCAAGAGGTACTTCTTCACCACCATACGGTATGTAACATACACTGTGACTAGGCTGAACCTGTAACAATAATAAATCTTATTAACATCGACATTTTGAATTATTACACTTCCACTTTAACATTGATAAATTCTAAATAATTATTGTCTAATATTAACATTAGACGATTATTAGATACATATAACCACAAAGAAAGTCTAAAAAATGATAAATAAAATGTTTATCTTAAAAATAAGTAAACATATATCCTACAAAAACAATAAAACATTAAAAATTCTAATATCAATCTCTTATGTTGTATAGCTGCTGTTTTCACTAGATTTGAGAATCAAAAACATAGTAGTTAATATTGAAATTCATAAATTACATAAAAAAAAAAAAATGTAATTGTACATAGTAGGTAAGTAATAAATGTGAATATTTTTTTGGGACTAATATAATGGAAAACTTAAGAAATTCTAATTTATTGTCAATAATAATGAAATTTATACAATTTAGTAACACCCAACACCATTTTGAATAATGAAGCTTAAAAGTTATAAAATTTCAACTGAAAATTAATTTTAGCAACATATGTATTCCTTTTAAAAACATAATTCAGGTTAATATATTTTGTGTCAATAAATAATAAGTTAAATAAAAGAAAAATTATAAAATGTAAGGTTTTATTTTCAGAGTAAATAAAAAATGGAAGGATACAATAAAAAACAACAAAATAACAATAGTTAAAAATAAAAAATTTATTCAAAACCGTTAAAACAACAAATATAATAGATAAAAAAATAAAATAAAAAATAAATATTCAAAACAGTTTTACTACAAAAGTAAATAAATCACAAATCATATAATAAGAGTAATAATTACGAGTTTTAAAAATAAAATAATACATTTAACTACATTTTCAGTATACATTTTAACTATTATAACCAAGTTTCAGTCAACATTTTTTTATTATTTCTTACACACAATTTTCTGAAATTAAGTTGGTAATAATGAAATTAATGGGTAAACTAATCAATTAAAAACAACCAGTCATTGGAATTATGGTAAATATGACATTCATTATTTTTTAGAAAATCATTAGTTTAAATTTTTGATTCATCAATTAATACCTTCAAGAAATATATATTTCTAAATATAATTTGATAAATAAAACAATTCTATGAATATTTCTTAGATTATTATCCAGTCATAAACAACCATAATTATGATTTTGGTGAGCTAAAAGTATATTGGTTATTATTGTTATTAGTTTTGTAATATGATTAATAGAGAGCACTGACAAAGTGTTGGACAGAATTCTAACTTATAAAGCCAGAGCCTAGTACTACACAAGGACAAGCCCAGACAAAGTAAAATAAAATCATTGGTACAATAATATAATTTAATAAACATTACATACATGAAAAATGAGAAAAGAGAGGTTATGTTTTCAGGTTCTATGTCCATTGAATAGTAAATTGAAATGAAAAAACATTGAGGAAAGTGCCATGTTCACTCAATTACCAATAGTAGAACATTACATGGTGACGAATTTAAATAAAATAACACAAATAAGATAATATTAACATTCAAACAAAAATAATTATTTAATATAAAAAATTATATCAAATCAAATATCCATGATTTAATTAATGAATTCCCAACTATTATTTCTTATTTTTCTTTCATGAGACATACCATCCATACTTTCATTGTTTGCAGAAGAATCTTTAGTATTGCGTTTTGAAATATCTTCAATAACATTATCACCTTCATTGTTTAAATTAGAATTACCTGTAAGTTCATTTTTAATCATAGAATCTTCATTGACAATTTGAGATATAGAATCTCTTATTTTTGCTCTTAATTTTGTTTGCAAATCAGAACTTTTTAAGTTTCTTATCTCCATAGCAACATAAGCACCAAAAACATCATGATCATCATTTTCTTTTTCCAATGAACTCTTTAATAATGTCATAATCAATGAATTCATACTAGATTTGTCTCCAGAGTCAAAGAGTAAACAATTCTTATCTATTGTTTCACTTTTCTGTGTTTTTATCTCCTTTTGATTTACCTAGAAATTATGAATTTCATTACATCTATAAAAATAAATAATTTATTATAAATGCATACAATTATATAGCAATATATAGAGAAAATATAACTTTCTAAATATTAGTTACCTCCTTCTCTTCAAAAAAAAAAAAAAAAATTGTTATTTTTAAGTTAAAATGTTTTTATTTCTTTTAATTAAAAAATAACTTATTAAAAAATTGTTTATAAATTGTTAAATGTAGTTACCATGAAATAATTATCATTTAGTTAGTAAGCAAAATTTAAATAGGGATTACCATTGATAATTACAATAAAGTCAAATTCATGAGGTCTGTTTTGTATGTCTTCCAAACTGTTTCCAAACATACATATAATATATAAAGAAAAAACAAATTTTTCCCATATGGAAGTAATTTGTATGGCATACAAAATAAACCCCTGATTATATTAATAACATCTAAATTTACACAGCGTAAAGCTTTGGTTCACAGATAATGAAATTAATATGGTATTCAACTTACCTATTTTCATTTAATTTTTATAATTGGCGTATAAATATGAAAAACTCCTTATCACGATAAAAAAATTTTAAAAGTAAAAACAAAAAAAATATACATCAATTAAATTACAAATACATATCATAAATGTAAGATACAAAATATAACGTCATCTATTTTATACTATGAATTTAATATGTCAATAAATTAATAATATGAAATATAATACATAACATAACATACCTTCCCAACTGTAACAGAACCATCATGTTGTCCACGACCAATAAATAAAGGTTCACCATCTTCTGTATGTCCTGAAGATAATGCTCCAACAGGAATTTCTCCTTGATTGGCTTTTACCCAAGTACCAGAACAATTGCAAAGTACCTAAATAATATTAAGATAAAAAACATTTTTTTTTTTTTAAATTGAAAAATAATAAAAACACTTACTTCATAATTCTCTTTAGGATTCTCAACACCACCCCAAGCTACATAAACAACACCATGAGAAGGAACAAGTTTTCCAGGAATAAGAGCACCATTATGCTCTGCCCTAGCTACATACAGTTGTTCATTGGTAGCATCAAAACCACCCGGTAAAGCATTTGGAGGTATTTGCCCGTTACTGGCATGAACCCATTGAACTGGACCAGATGTGGGTCCATCAAGTTTCCAACCAGGTGAAGCTGCAGGCGGAGCTAGAACAATATTTCAATTCTCGACTTAATTAAAATTGTTTACACATTTATGAAAAAATACAATAACAAATTAATCATTTTACAAAATTAACACAAGGGGTTATCCTAACCTTTTCCGTTCAAAGGTTTTGGTTTTGGTTTTGGGGTAGAAACTACTTTGCTTTTAAATTGATCATCTGCTGCACCATGAATACGCCAATTACCAACAGCCCCCCAACAAGTGCGAATGCCATAATGAGAAATGCTAAAAGGACTTGAATTTTTCCATTCTAATAATTTAGAATTGTCACAAAACACTTCAAAAATACCATCTCTCCAAAATATGACAAATTTCTTTGATGTATCTTTACTCAGAAGTTGAGGAGTATCTATGTGTACCTTTAAATAAGCATTTTATACATTTAGTATAATAATTCTATTGTAATTTAAAAATCACACATTTAGAACAATGTAGAACAAATTGGTAGTAATTGTTAGTTGTTAATTCATCAACATTATGTACGTATAAAAAATTTGTTAACCTTATTATTTAAGAATTTATATTATTTAGGTTAAAATAGGCCCAACATCAATGGTGAGTGAATTAAAACATTTATATCAAAACCTTATCTGGTTTTTCTTTGTTGTAACGTATAGCAGATGCTGTATTCTTCCAACCGCCAAGTAATATCTCTACTATAGGGTCAGATTCATTAGCTTTATTTGTCAAAGCAATGTGTGCATCATTAGCACTATCAACTGAAAAACTGATTGATCCATGAAGTATAACTCGATATATGTAATCTTTACTATCTTCGGTATTTATGTAAATGTTATCTGTTTTATTTAAATTTAAAAAATAAATCAAAAGTAAATTAACGTGAAAAAAAATAATATTTTTAATAATATTTTACAGTACCTAGTAACATAAAATGAAAATAAAATGTTAGCTTAATAACAATACAATATTGTATATATATATATATATATATATATATATATATATATATATATATATATATAAAAATAAAATAATTTAATGTATAAACAATTAACAAACCTTCAATGGTCCATACACCAGTAGCTCCCCATCCAGTACGTACACCATAAAAGGAAACATTAAGAGATTCTTCATCTTGCCATGACATGAAAGGTTTTTCTTCGCCTTGTTTTCCTACACCAATAAAACCACCTCCCCATTTAATCCAAAATGATCTTTCTTCACTGCCATTCAATATTTTTGGAGTATCAGCAATAACCTTGTCTGGTTCTTCATTATTTTTGCGTATGGAAGACTTTGAATTTCCCCAACCACCCAGAAATATCTATTTATAAACATATTATTAAAAATTACACATTTCATAATACATAATAATATAAGCTAGTAACATTACAATTTAGTAACAACAATAACATAAAAATTAAAAAATAAGTAAAAATATCTTAACAAAAAATTAAAAATCAACCAACATTGGACTACTTTTGACTGACAATTATAATATTTGGCTTTGAACAAATTAATCTAAGTCATACTGGAGCTGAAGATAAAATAATAAATATAAATACACAAGCACATGAATAATTGCTTAATTTTAATTGTTAAAATGCATTAATCATCAAAGAATGAATAACTCAAAAAAGAAAAATATGTATTTTATTTTAAAAGTTACTGAGATTATTAAATGATTAAACATTTAATTTGAAACTATTCATGGCCCAAAAAATATCTTGTACAGTTTATTTATAACGCATAATTTACCAACCAAAATCAATGTTGAAATGTTTACTAATGAATAAAAATTTTTAGAACATATAATTTTGTTAATCTACTAAAGAGCATAACAGTTTAAGTATAATGAAACACATATAATACCTCATATTTAGGTGGCTTATTTTCAGCAGTAGCAGTTAAAGCAATATGAGCATCATTTGAAGCTTTGACGCTGAAGTGCAAAGCACCAAAATTCAATGGATAGAATTTATATTCTTGACTATCAGTTGTAGTTACTTCTAAATTATAAAAACACAAACATATTATTTTAATGAAAGAGTAATCTTAAAAATAAAAATATTACCTGAATATAAATAAATAAATAATTATAAGTATTAATATCTATGTAACTCACAAAAAAACTGTAGATTAAATAATGAAATATATGTATGTAAGTAGACTAATAAAAATGAGAAATGTTCAATGACAAATCAAATTTATATTCTATTGTTTAAAACAAAAACGAAAATTGCTTTTAATTAAATAGGAAATAGAAATATTCTTGGAGATTTTTTAGATATTGTTTATATTAACCATGACTAAAAAGTGTGCTTACAAATGTATCATTAATAATGATGAATGCCTATTGAATACCTATTTAATTTTATAAACAATAATGAACACTAGGATATTAGGTATTTGTGACAATTTATTTTAGGTAGGTAGGATTAAGTAGCTTTAGTAGTAATAGATTAAGTAGATTTAGTAACATCTGGATTAGAAGATTTAAATTCACAAAAAATAATATTCATATATTAGCTATTTTCTAACCTAATCTCGATATTTTGTAAACAGTAACGATTCATGTAAGATATAATAAAAAAATCATAAAATCAATAAAAATATTTAGAAATATAAGTAATCCATTACATACACAAAAAGTGAAATAATAATTAACAAAATATATTAGCCGCAGTATTATAAACTAAGGTTTTAACACAAATATCATATTAATCGGATCACTAACAAATAAAATCTGTATTTTAATCTGGTGTTTTTTCTCAATCCAATGGCAATAATAGCATAAAAGAAAGAGTTTAAAGAACTATCCGTGACATTACCGAAAAAATAAGTAGTAGTACAACAAATACGAAATTATTCGACTATAATTATAACGAGTTATGATGTATGTTGGAATTTTAATTGACACGAGTAAAATTTAGAATAATCGGCCAAAAATAGACGAATCGTAGACGGAGAGGGAAAAGATGGTTGACCATTGTGAATCGTTATTATAACACGTAAAGCACAGCTCGCAGTGTTCACTCCCAAACTTTTCGCGTAGGTTTCTCACGATCCGACAGCTCGACCGGACACCGGCGAACATTAACGCCAAAAACAAAATATTATTACACCGATCGTCGGTAGTTCGTAACCTATGTGGTTTTGGTTGAACAAATCGTACGTTATTTTCGATCGCACTCACCCGTAGCCATATCGTTCGAATTGGAGATTCTGGTTTACAGTTAGATTTCGTCTCCTGAGAGCTGAACAACACCACAAAGTTGCTAAATGTTAGCAGCCGGTCAACGAACACGGGACGAGTAAGCAAATGAAACGAAAGATGAGACAGATGAAAAGACGCAACGACAGTGTTCCGGGTTGACTACTTCGTGGGATTAATCGCCGTCGGTCGACGAGTAAGCGGAAGGGGCGACAAGCGGATAGGGCGTGGGACGCGGTACGACGGCGCGGACCTTCAAATTATTTACGGACGTATTGCGATTCGGTGACTGCGCCGCTTTCACTACCACCACTGATTGTTCCGTGAACCGTGTCCCACGTAACCGGCGTACGCGAAAACTTTATCTTCACGGGAACCTGCTCCATTGCTAGGGCTTATTTGAGTTGAGGCCATGGGGGGAGGAGGCGAAACTAATTTTTCTTTAGTACAGACTTAAAAATAATTTACAGTTCATTACCTACAGCTCATGTTCCTGTAATAATAACATAATATAATGATAGACTAGTAATTTATATTCTTAATTATTTATACATTATATATTTTAAATAAATCAATATATTATATTCAAAAAAAATATGTGCCATAGGGGGCGAATACCCCTTTCACCCACCCCCATCAAATACAACCTTGCTCTTTTGTATTCGAATTGAAATGTTTTCGTATTATATTCCATTTAACTCTAGACGGCCAGTATTACATCTATTCATCACTACATATTGACTTTTACTCATTTTTTTTCTTTGTAGGTAGGTAGTTGGTAAGATAAATATTTCTATTTTTTTTTTTCATTACAGTGATTTTGATAAGTATCCGACTTATTGAGAACAGTTGGTCTAGAAGACTGCGTATAGTATCACTCCAAGAAAGCAAATTGGGCCGTACTTAACTTCGCCGAGTCCAGAGAAAGCTAAATCTTTCGGATCAATTTATTTTTTAAGGGTTAGGCCTAATTTTCAAACAAACAATTTTTTTAATTACGCATGATAACTAATAATTTTATGGTTTTGACATAGAATATGTAGACTATTAATCTTAATGTATTTTTACATTTTATTGGACTTTGTTATATTTTTTGAAAGAAAATTGAATATTTTAAAATAAATAATAAGTAATAACTAAAATTAATATAAAACTACCTAATAATATGAAACGTAAAATGAATAATTCATGTCGTTGATTATAGAATACAATCAATCAGGAGCGGTTATCTAGTATTTAAAAAGATGCTCAAACACGATTTCATAAATAAGGTTGGAGTAAGGTTGGTAAGGAGTTTGGATTCCAATATGTTATTATTAGGTTTAGGGACTTATAGCTCTAAAAAATACACAAATATGCTTCTAAAGTCATTAAAATATGCAATATAATATGCATTTATATGCATTAAAAAAAAAAAATAACCAGATAGTACACAAAATAAAACATGTCCATCGGATTTAAATATACTTTTAAACTACGAAACAAAATTTTGTAGTCGGCTACTCGTAGACTGTTGTAATTTCGGCATAACACTATGTTACAAATTATCGCGTACGACGTTTTACGTATGATTCAACGTTGTGTGGTTGTGAGACGCAAAAACAACGACGGATAATAATCGACTGAATTAAATACCTAACAAATAATCTATTATTCTATATCAACTATTATCTTTATCGGCATCCGGTCAATATCCAGCGGATTATACGGTCGATACGGGTTTATAGTATTATCATTGATTATAAATAGTATTATTTATAACCAATGGTATTATTTATACTTACAAATTGTAACGAGATATGAGAGGTAGTTTGCAGATGGCATACTAAAAGTCCTCTTAGTACATTTTTTTTCTCGATCGGTTGAAATATGTATATATAGTTATATGTATCTATAGTTTTTAATTTTAAATAATAAAATTTGAGAAATTTGTCAAAATATGCAAAATAAGCATAATAATGTTAAAATAAGCACTCTCCTGCAAAATCTAGCAAATACGCAAAAATATGCACATTTAAATTTTAGATCTGATATCATGGCACCGAGAAACGAATTTATTTCGCACTCTGCTATAATTAACAATAATTAAAAAAGTATGCAAATGCTAGAAGTCCCTAAGCCTAGTTATTATTTATAGGTACACATGTATTTACAATCTACATAGTACCTAATTTCACCTATTAATTGAATAATTTAAACAACTGTTTGTGATTTTGTTTAAAAAACAAAAATGTGGATACCACAATATAAACCAGAGATAGGGTACTAGCATACAATATAATAAATATGTATTATTAAGGTTGCCATATATTTATAAGGCGGAACCGGAACAACACAAACACAATATTGAGTAATATATTTTTTTATATAATTCTTAATATATTAATAGTATCAGTGGCGTATACAAGGGGGTGATGTGGAGGTCAGATCCACCTAGGCCTTTTTTTAAATGTTATAAAATAATGTTCCTAGTGTGAGGACGTTAGAAACGTAAAAAAAAGGATGATAAAATAAAAATAATGATTTGTTTGCAAATGATCCCCCATACAAAAGTTATATATATGCCTCTGAAGAGGACTATTAATGACCGGTAATATAATATTTAAAAAAATGTTTGTAAAATAAAATATATTATAATATTTATAAGTGTAAATTACAAAATATGTTTTTATTATATATTGTTAATCGATTACGATTAAAAATGTACTTTGAGATAAAATGGTCAAAATTAAAAATTAAACAATAGGTACTAAATTTCCTATAAACGTCTAAGCCGGGACAAAAAGTCCAAAACTGGTGACAATCCCGGTTTTTCGGGAGACGTATGGCAACCCTATGTATTATAATACAACACAGTACTTACCAGCAGTATTTTGTGGTGGTAACAGTTCTTTAGAGAACTTGTATTTTCAAAACCGCTACTGCAATCAATGCTCGTAACTATCAGATGGTATATAGGGTTCGCAAGCCAATTTATTTTGAGGAATACCTATGATCAGTGGCGCAACCAGGATTGATTTTTAGGGGAGTTGTGAAAATGAAAAAGTAAGCATTTTTTGCAGGTGTTTGGTGGGGATAAGGAAGTAAGATTAAGTTAGGTTTATGAGTAAAATATTTAAATTACAAATATGCTGTTTAACTTCTATTTCACATTGTGATACCACAAAAAAAAGTATTATACAATCGACTATCGAGAAATCGTAGTAGTAAGGTTATTAATGTTCTAATGTTGATCAGAACGTTACATAACGTTCCATATCGTCATGTTATTATTGTTATCTATTATATTACGAATAATATTCATATTTCATATCAATTAGCCGTTTCGCGTGTAACCAGTACTTAGGTACCAAAGGTCGAGTTATAAATTGGACAAACTTATAATTTAGATAGGTATTTATGGAACTATTATTATTTGAGAGGCGGTAATTTTTAGAACATGGTTAAGATTATCAACTCTACAGGTTAGAAGGAAATGTTTGGGCGCCACTGAGTCCCAATATATTTTTTACTTTTGTAGTCAATTTTAGCTGTTAAATTATTGAAATAAGTTTTTACATAAAATTTAGAACATTTTGTTTTATTTTTTTCTATTACAAATTACGATTTATTTTTTTATCAAATATTTTAGAATAATTTACATTTAATTTGAGAAACATTAGCTAAAATGGAGGTCTCTTGCTCTTAAGCTTAAAATGTAGGGCCCCATTTACAACATTTTTGGGGATGTTCGGCCACATGCAGACTTCTATGTTAGATACTTATTTAAGTATTTCTATTTTATAATTTCGATGAGTGAAATAGAATAAAAAAAGATAATCTACAAAAGGTTATTGGTTTAACGTACAATACTCAGGGTTCTGCAAAGTTTAAATACATATTAATAATAAATAATTAGTTAACAAAATACGAAAATTAGTATAACCATAAATTTAAGATGTATCTAATTGAATTGCTATGGTTTTCATAATTTATATATTGTAATCTGGACTAATATTGAGTAAATACTTTAAAAAAGGTACTTACCTAAAAAAATACCTTTATTTAAGGTCAATTTTAATTTTAGCGTCATACAATATAAACACTTCAAACAGTATTTAAAAATCATTATGATATACATTAAATTATATTTATTAATATATTTCTTTTAAATATGGAAAAATACATTAGATAAATCAAGTTAATATATTTCAAACATTCTTAAATATATTTGTAAATAAAAATATTAACAAAAAACATGCATTGCTAAAAGAAGCAAAATTATCTTGAAAAAAATCCAAATCATTTATATACTCAACAAATCTTCCAATTTCTAATTTAGCTTCAAAAACAATAACCAGCAAGTAGTAACTCTTGTTAACACCAAAATTGTGTCTAGGTGCAGAAGTCTTTACTTGTTTAAAAAAATTCAAAATAAAACAAACATATTATATAAATTATATCCTTATTTCCCGGAGTTGTCACTGTGTATGGGTATACAAGCCAGATGCAAGTCATCAATAGCTTTTTTTAGTTAAAAAATTGAATTATTTTTAAGGAAACCTAAATATTTTATGCTTCAGTCAATATATTTCTATGAGAAGGAAATTAGGGGTATACAATATTTACAAATATAATTGTTAAAATGGTAGGAAATTATTCTTAGAATGCAAAAACATAATTTTAACTACAAAAAAGTAAACTTAAAAGGTCTACAACTAAATAATTAATTTTAATATATTAATAAAATATTCTTATAATAAAAAAAAATTAAATTATTATCCAACAAAAGTTAATATGAAGATACAAGTAAAAATGTTTGATTCAGTTTTCAAAAATTGTATAGAACAAAGGTTACTTTATAAATTATATGATGTTACAAGCCCGTTTATTAAAAATTATAAAACGGGCCGCTAAATTATCAAATTTTCCTGGGCCACAACTTAGTATCAGATTAAATTTGGCCATATTCTAATTAAAATGCAAGGCATTGTAAGACTGATTTCTTTTTAATTATGTAAAACAGGGTTGGCCAACCTAAATGATTTTGTGGGCCACTTTGGAAATACATTACGGGCCACATATTAGTATTTTTCCTCCATACAAAAAAATCTGGAGTAAACATTTTACACAGGATTAATTATTAGAATAAAATAAGTTTTAGTGTATTAATTATTTGAAATAAACAGAATGAATTATTGTTTTTATCGCCGTATTATGAATCTAATTTTTTCAAGAACTCTTTAACTTTTCGGTGTGGAAGCGCATGTAATTCAATGCTACTTATTCCATAATATGATTACTTGCATAACATAGTTCATCGACAATACTTGGGAACAAAGGTTTTGTTGATGAATCAAATAGTTTGTTGTGTTTATGTTGTAATAATAATACGGATTCTGCGTTGTACAAGCATTCAAGAATATTTTATTGGGACAAAAATAAATTTATTTTGTAAATGTTTGATAGATCTTGCGGGCCACAAACTTTCCAAGGTGGGTCGCATGGGTCCGCGGGTTGGCCATCCCTGATATGAAGTAACAAAATCAGGTTCAACATTATGAAAAATATCAGAAAATTTACATTATTTTTTAAAACCATTCTTATAATATTTTATAGAATATTATCAAAGAATTTTAATCCGTATAAATTGTCATTATTTTTATTTTACTCCAATAAAAATAGGAATTAAATTAAACTTTTGGAACACTTGTAATCCAATAATATATTAAAATATAATTTGCTTCACTTGGATCTATAACACTCACTTTAACAATTATAATGTCATAATACATGTATACATAACATTAATTTATATTAAAAATAGATAAAATACTTGATTATAAAGAGAGATGAAAATGTGAAAAAGTGTTAAGACTTTTAAGAGTATTCTCCATCATGAATTATAAATAAAGAAGAGTACTCCAAAAGTAGGGCTAAATGGAATAAATTCCTTTAATTTCTTTAAACTTTTAAGAATTTAGTTTCTTTTCATTTAAAAGTATATATAGGAATTTTTTTAACTTTTTTAGAGGAATATCAATAAATTTCATTAGTTTAATCTTAAATAGTCACAATTTTAATAAATTTTAGAATTAAGAGAAATAATTATCATAACTCTTCTTTTAGAAATTTACCTACTAAATTGATTCAGCGATTGTATCTATGTCTACCCGCAAAACAAAATATGGATGGCTAATTTTGTTTAATGTCATATCAGTCATGATAACCTTATAAATGTAAAATTATTAAAAACTGAAAAACTTTTCAGACTATAAATTATGAAATTAATGAGGAACAAAAAATGTTCCTCGTATAGGAACTCTTCAAGCCAGAAATGGAAAAGGATTTAATTCCTTTTTAATAAGATGAATGTAAATGTAACTAGTTCCATTGAAAAAGGAACTTTCCGAGCACTGCCTAAAAGTTGCAAAAAAAAAATTAAAAACTTTGCATGAAAAATAACCACATGTTTTTAATGAAAATTAATTATATGTGACTTGTATTCAAAGAAGTAAGGAATAATGGAGATGATTAAAAGAAAATAATAACGATAAAAATCATTCTTATATGAAATAATTACCAAGAAAATATCAATGTATTCTCATTAATCAAATTATTTTATTACCTGTATGGATACCAACTAGCCATTTCTGATTCACTTCTCTGTTTGATAACCCTGAAAAATGAACGACTCACAAAGAAATTAAAACTGCAAATATTATCTATACCCTATCTAATTGAAAGGTAAAGTAAATTGTAGAGGAAATCATTTCTAGTGACAACTCCAGATTTTAGGGATATTTTTCATAAACAATTTATGGTAAACCTAATATCACATTTATAGACATAATTTATATATCATAAATTCAAATTCTTATTAAATCTGAAACTGTCACAAACTAACCAAGTACGCACTAATAGTTGTAGTAGGAAACCAATAAAATAAAATGGCATTAAGTTATCATCATTAAAAATGTCTCATTCAACAGTTAAATTAGATTTCCTGATAATAATCATTTAATTACCAAATTAATATTGGAGAAATGATTTCTGACAATTTCTACATGTTGTATGATTTTTCAAATTTGTTTTCATTCTGCAAAACAAACAAAAATCATTAAATAGAAAGAATTCTATAATAAAACATTAAAACATCACACGGAGTAAATAGATTTTAAAATCGAAATGTTAAAAGACTATTTTTTAAAATTGTACTTTATTATCAACAATAATTTGTCATTTCATAACTACAATATACGAGCCGAAATATGACCATTTTGCAATAAATTGTAATTTATATTTATAGATGAAAAGAAAAATAACTGTGTACAAAATAATGTAAGTGAAAAATAATTTAAATATATGAAAACTTCTAATAAGTTTTTTTAAATTACTTTGATTCTAAAGAACCAAAAAAATAAAATCAAAGTTTAGAGTTAGTTTTTCTAAGCATAACTATGGACACTGATCAATTTTTTTCCGATATGAATGGATGTACCAAAGCTTGTGATATTCCAATGCGTTTTGAAGAATCCAAAGTCAATATTTTATCGAGTAAATCTTTTAATTGGCCCACTTTACGAATTTGATCTTCAGGTAATTTTTGATTTCCCAATAATTCAGTATATAGATCACGACTAGGATTTATTGAAGACATTGTTATAATTTTTTCCTAAAAAATAAAAAACAATGAAATAATTAAAAATCAGAAAACTAAAAATAAATTATACATTATAAGAGAGTATCATAAAAGAATATTTTATTTTAATATAAGTGTAGTAAAAATAATTAATAATTATATACTCATGGACATACATAGAAATTAGGTCAGTTTCATACTTAATACCACTTAGTGTATTGTCACAGAAAAGATACAGTGGCACCACTGATGAAAATACATTATTTTTAATTTATGTTTACATACGTGTCACCACGAAATTATGGGGCCACAAACACGTTTATGTGGTTGGTCATCACTAGAAATTGTACCACATTTTTTGGCGCTGCAGTAAGAAACACATTAAAATAGTTCATTAACTTAATACGGATCACGCCACTAATTATTGATCACAAGTTTAAGAACCTCCAGAAAATTTAAGGAAATAGTATGTTCTGGAATAATAGACTGCAATATTTCTAGAATATTACTTGGAGTATAAAAATTATGTCTGATGATTTGCGGTGATAATTCGTAACTGTGATTAGTGGCATATAGTCTAATAGTCTTTGTCACAATGAATACTACAATTTGCAAATTATGTTATTCGAGCCTTGCAAGTAAATTGCGAACACATAAGAAATTTTTTTCGAAATCGGGTACATAATTTAAACAAATGTAGATTACCTAACTAATAATCTTCATTTCCAAAACAACCACATAATAATGTACACCAGGAGTGGCCAACTTTTAAAAAGTTCACGATTGACAAAAAAAAAAAAGGTTGTGACCGATCAAAAATATTTTATATACATGCATGTCTTCTATTTAAAATATTAATATGTAATAATAACTTGATGATACAAAGAGAAATTGTTAATTTTCGAAAGAAATGTACTGTCGAATTTATGGTCCTATTCCTGAAAATGGAGAATATCGATTAAGAAATAACGAGGATATCTACCAGTAATTTCAAAAATCAAACTTATAGCATTTAACAGAAGCAAATAAATTTAATGGGCAGGACACTTATGGAAAAATAATGGTCCCTGTAAACAAGTTCTGATAGGTAAAATCAATGGTAGAAAACCCAGAGGCTGCCCTAGGCAAATATGGATGAACATATTAAAACTAGATCTGGCAAAGATTGCACCAGGAGCAAAGTTAAAAGACTGAAAATAGGGAAAGGTGTCAAGAAATAGTAGAAACAGCGAAGGTCCTGAATAGATCTTTAAAAGCAATAAAAAATAATAATAATAATAACTTAAATTTTACAATTTGACATACACATATTTAAATTTATACGAACTCTATAAAGACCGTTATTTACTACGGATTTCATTAGATTACGTTCACTATACCTCTAAACCTACTTGATCTTGGTATAAAATTCTATTTTTCATAGTTATTTATCTAAATTTAAATATTCTTGAAAGAAAAAAAAAAAGGAGTCATAATTGACTCAAATTTATAACACGTTCAATCTGCTAGTCACCCCTGATATATGAGTACACTACACTTAAACATTACATAAAAAAAAAAACAATATATAAAATATTATGTTACTATGTATTTCTGTGGCAACACTCAAAGTGGTTTGTGTAAAACGGGCCTAGTTTAGTTGTCATTTTTAAGGAAATTTATAGTTAACACTAATAAAACTAGTTTCTTAATATTAACTGTAGTAATTTGAAAAATTAACTGAGTACCATTATTAACATATTCTAAAGATATTTCCTAATTTCAAAAAATATTTTGACCTCACTTTAATCAGTTATAGTTTAATAACACAGGAGGACATAATGGCATTTAAATGTTATTATGTACCTATTAATTAAGTATTACCATTAAATGTTTAACTAATAATAATTATAAAATACAATTCCTAACAAAAATGTATTATATTTGAATTTGCAATAGTAATAATAGTTTACAAAGCATACAATATTCAAAATATAGAACATATTTTTGCAAACACAATGGCCAGAAATTAAAAAATTAATTCTAGAATTCCGTTTTGCTTAAATTTTAGATAATGAGCTAAAATTTGGTATATACTATATATTTCAAGCACCTATACAATCTTTATATAGTTCTAACTTCTAGATTTTTCGTTTAATATATATTTAACTCAATTTATATAAAAATTATGAAATAAAATTTTAGATAAAAATGTATTAAATTTAAATAGGCTTTAGAAATGATTATTTACTTTACATACAATATTAAAATTACAAAATATATTCTTGCAAAGATAATGACCAGTAATTACCAAATAAATTCTAGAATTCTATTTTGCTATTATTATAAATAAATTAGTATATAAATATTATAGATTTTAAATATACATTATTCATTATACAAATATATAGTTATTATTTTATTTTGTTACTTCAAAATGTATTTTATTTCTCTATAAAAAACTAACTTAAAATGTAGAACTTAAGTAATGTAAGGATTAAAATAAGATCAACTTGTGTTAAAAAAAACATGAAAACATACCCGTTCAGTAACTTTGTCAACTTCATGATATAGGAAATTGCAATTACTATCAAAATGTTGATCTTTGAACATTCCTTTTCTAATAGTTTTGTTGGCCATTTTCCCTTTCAAATCCATAAAAAATTTCAACATCTAAGAATAAAAAAAAAAAATGATGATTCATTATTAATTAAATTAAAATTTCATAACATTTTAGTTATAATAAAAAAATTAATTTAATTACTTGATTATTAGTTTTTCCAGGAAATAATATTTTGCCGGTGTAAAGTTCATAAATAGTACAACCAGCAGACCACATGTCGATTCCAAATTCACATGGAATACCTAAAACTAAAAAAATATCCACATAAATGAACTTAATTAATTTACAAACATTATAAATAAGAACTTACTTATTTCAGGGGATCGATAAAATCGACTGACCAAATATGGGGTGATTTCATTATCGGAAATGTGAGAAGCTGATCCAAAGTCACATAATTTTAATACTAACTTACTCTCATTTACCTAGAATTAAAACAAAAAGAATATACTTATGAATAAAGTAATATTAAAGTTTTATTTTTGTTATAACCAGGAATATGAGATTCGCAGGAACTGCAGACCACAGAAATTAATTTTTCCAAGGAGTTGTATCATAGTTGAACTGGACTTGGTAATACCTAATTACCAAAAGGCAAATAATGTCAATATTATGATCATAATTTTGCAATAACATTGGCCAGAAATCAATACTAAATCCTGGAATTCCGTCTTGCTCAACTTAAATCTAAATTATAGTTAAAATTTAATAAAATACTCACTAAAATATTATCAGGCTTGATGTCAGCATGTAAGATATTTGCCTTTTTCATCAACTTCAAAGCTAAAAATAACTGTTGACTATATGAACGAACAGCTTTAATGTGCAATCCTATGTCTTTGCCATACTTCTTAAGTACCTTTAAATTTATAATATGTTATAATTTATTTAATCAAATAAGTAGTTCTTATAATAATAATCGTGATACAAAAACTACTCAAAAATTAAGTTAAACAGAAAATACTAAATATCAATCGTAAAGATAATATTAATCTATCTCTAGTAAAATAATTGATTATTAGGGATCAGATATTTATTAAAACCATTATATTTTTGATATATATATTGATTGATTTACTAATACTCAAAATACAATGTCCATGGCACACACAAAGGTAGAGCAGTTACACTAGCAATCTTAAGAGGGTGGATGAGTAGATAGTGATGATTTAAACTTAAATAGAGCTGAAAATAGTTATACAATTAAACACATAGCGGTAAGAAAAAAATGTCTTAAAAAAAAAAGTATAATTTAACTGTATGTTGTATGTTTCAATTATCTTTAAAATTTAATTCATAAATTATTATAATAAAATAATAGAAAATATTAAAGAAATATTACATTTTAAAGATAAGTATTTTGACTAGATATGTATTTTGAAGACTAAGTTTAAAAAACACCTATCAATCAATGTTAATAATCAACTTATTCTAATATATAGTTTATAGATTATTATATAAAATAATAATAATGATAATAATAATAATAATAAATAAAATAAAATAAACGTAACAAATTTTAATAAATAATATACTTTACCTCTCTAAGATTCATACTAAGTGGTTCAAAAACCATACATAAATGCTGTTTGTGAAAAAAATGTCTGTATAAACGTAAACAATGAAATCTATCATCAGGATCAGAATCATTTAATCGTTTTAATATTTCTAACTCTTTTAATCCTGTTTTGTGCCTAGATTAAATTATAAAAATTATAATACAATAATTAAAATATTATACATTTGATGTGAAGAACTTACATGATTTCATTGTTTCGTATTATCTTAACAGCAACATCTTGATTATCTCGTACAGCATCTCTAGCACGGACAACATTAGAAAATACTCCTTGTCCAGTATAACCATATACAGTATACCGTGAATCCATTGTTTCACCAATTCTCACACGATAATAACCTTCGGCATCATCCCAGTTGTCTGTTAAAGATGGATTTTCAGGAACACTTTTGTTTCCATTTGGTATACCATCTGGTTGTGGAGTCTGAATAATATAAAAATTTATTTCATACTTTAATTGACCAGTATAAGTAATACACAGTATTAATATTTACATGTTGTGTAGCATGAAATGAATCAGCTTCAGCAAACATATCCCATTTGCCTTTTATTAAATCAGGATTTAAAACGTGATCTGGCTTTGCAGTTTCTTTTTCTGGTGCTGAATCAGAATCATTTAATCTTTTATCAATTTCTTTGGGAGAAGGAGGTTCTGGGGAATGCTGAGCAGATGTTTCAGTTGCATAACTTCCATGAGGAGAAGGATTCATAGAATCTTCACTATGCAAATTACTATTATTTGCTCCTAATCTCTAAATTTATGTAAAAAATAAACAAGAGAATTATTATTTTTAAAGCTATTAAATAAACTTATAAAATACCTTTAATAATTCCTCTCTCTGCTTTCTTCTTTTCTCAATAATTTCTTCTTCATTTTCATCTTCAGCAATATTTATATTAACATCAATACTATAAAATAATTTTAATATTCATGAATTATATAAAAAGCCTTACTAATTTACTTATTAATTATAAGCAAGGCTCGGAACTTTATGCGCTAAAAAAATACTAAAATATGCGGTATAATATGCAGTAAAAAATTGGAAAATAATAAACTGACTACTGACTAGTATACACTGTACAATGAATTCGCTTGCATGCAAATGTATGCAGTATTATAATGAACAGAAATAATATTGTGTATGAGCTGATAACCTAATGGTTAAACATAATTGTTTACGAATTACCTATGGTTATACAATTTGTTTATGTCATGTTACATTATATTAATACAATGGTAAATTTGTAAAAAAATAAATACGGGCTCACGGTGGTCACTATTAGGAGTTTTCATAACTATAAATATTATAATAATATTGTTAAGTACATTGGGCGCCGGAGCAATACAAATAATAGCCGTTGAAGAATTAATTTATAACCCAAAATTCAAAAAAAGTTTTCAAAAAAAAATTATAATATATTTAATTAAATTAACAATTAATCTAACTTTAAATTTAAAGCGAGAAATATTAGCAAAACATGACATATACTCACTCAGAATCAGAAGATGATTTATCATCACGTTTAAGACCTTCAGAAAAACTATCTTTATATTTGTCGCCTCTATCTTTTCCTTTATGAGATCTACAAATACATTTTAAAATTAATTATTCGTCCAGTGAAATTTAAACTTAAGTAATAACTCAAATAAATTATATTTACAAGTTAATGCAAACTGAAATTGAAACTTACTTACCTAGAATGCCGTTCTTTACTATGGGATCTTCTATCATACCTTCTATTATATCTTTTATCTCTATCTCTGTCCCGATCTCTATCTCGCTCTCTTTCTCTGTCACGATCACGTTCACGATCCCGATCTCTGTATCGATTAGAAGCTAAAACCAAAATGATAAAAATAAATAAAAATAATAGTTTATTATTTATTTATTTGTAATAAAAATTATTGATGAAAAAACTAATTAATTTTACAGTAATTTAACATAATTATAATCCTTATAGTACATTTTATAATAAAATAAATAAAACATTTACCAAGGGGACTTCTTGCATTGCGATCTCTATTGGCTAAAAAAAAAGTTTTATTCAATTTAACTGATAAAATAATTACATAATGTTTAATTCTTACATATAGGACTTTTTATACGTTCTCGTCTCCTTCTTAATTGATCTTCACGTTGTCTTATTTGTTCTTCTCGTCTTCGAACTTCTTCTGTTCGCCTTTTTGCTTCTTCTTCTATCTCTTTTATTTCTTCATCTCGTCTTCTTAGTTCACGTCTTCTTAAATCATCTTCTCTTTTTTTAATCTCCTCTTCTTTTCGCCTAATTTCACGTCGTTTTTCATCTTCCAAATGTTTAATCTTCTTTTGTCGTTCTTTATCTTTTTCTCGAGATCTTTCATAGTCTTTATCACGTTCTCGTTCTTTTTCACGATCTTTCTCTTTTTTTAATCGATCTGACTTTGAATGAATTAAGTCTTTACTTAAACTTCTATCTCGAGTTGATTTTTTTATTTCTTGATTGGCACCACCATGATTACGCTTTGATGGACTTCTTATACTATCAAAAAAAAAAAAAAAATTAGTAAATTAATAATTAATATCTTTATAATAAAAAACTCATCAGAAGCAACAATATACCGTTCAAAATTCTTAATTTTATTTTCTTCATCCGATTCATCATCAATCAAATTAATAGTTTCAACTGATTTTCTCATGGTTGGTTTTCTTTTTGAAATCGACTTATCTCCGTCATCTGATTCAGACAAATAAGCTCCTAGTCGAGCTTGAAGTAGCGCCTAAAATAAAAATTGTTTATAGTACATTTAAATTAAAAAAAACATATAATTTATTTTAATCTTAAAAAGTACTAAGGAAAAGTCCATAAATCTATTCATCAAACGAAAAACAAAACAGATGGCACATTCATTTTGAATATGAACTATTGAACCATTATACAAATTTAGATTTCCGATTTAAATTACAAACAATATTTTATAAGAATTTAAATTCTTTTTAATGTAATTACAAAATTTATCTTTACTTCCATCTAGAATTTCAAAAAATTATACATGGAAAATTTAAAATTTTTTAATGTAATTTTATTGTAATAAGTAAATTATTTTTTGAAAAATATTATATTATATAAATAACATACAAAGTAATCCGATTTAATCTGAAAAAAATAAAGTATAGTTTTCTGGTATTTTATTAACTTTATAAAAATAAAATCTGGATTTGGCAAAATAAAAAATTGTGTTATTAAGTATAATTAATTGAAAGTCATAAAATAGCATATAAATTTGTTTTATTCAGCACTGAGCCAATAGAAACATTAAGGATAATACTTTTCCCATAATTTTAAATGTTAATACAGAATTTATGCTCAAAAATAAAATATATTTATAAACAAAAAGTAAATATATTTCTTACGAGACTTAATATTTTAGATTTGAAATAATGTTTTAAAGATAATTAAATAAAATCCCGGTTTTGAAGATTCTTCATTTGGCCATTGCAAGGAGTACAAGTATACTAGTTTTCTCAACCATTTTAGAAATACTCTGAATATATTTTAATTTAATCATTTATTTATAGGGAAAATATTAGTTTTTATCATAGGCGAACATTTGTACGAATTTTTTTAAGGGTCTTGAATTATTATAACAAATAAATAATACTAAGAATGTTTAATTTTGGGAGGGGACTATAGAAATTTTTGAGGAATACTTCATAAACAATTAAAAAAGATAAAATATTATTTTTATTAAAAAAAATACCTTTTGCTTAATCAATTCTTCCAAATTCATTTCTTCTTCATCCAAATTAATTTCAGTTATTGTTGGTTTTTCAATTTTCTTCTTTTTACTTATGTCTGGTGGTGGTGGTGATGGTGGTCGTTTTTGTTTTCCATTTTGAACATGGTCACCATTTGATTTTTTTTTATCACGTAATTTAGATTCTCCATTTTCTTTTTTGGTTTTTTTATGTTTTCTATAACATTAAAAATCACATAGTTAAAAATTTAATGTAGTCCTTAAAATATAAACTATATATAAAAAAAAAAAAAACAGAAATATATTTCTAGTCAAACAAAATAAATAAGAATGATCACATGTATATATCACTAGCAAGTAAACAAACCCATTCATTGATTAAACTGTAGATAAACAATTCTTAAAATGGTTATTATATAAATCAAAAACTAACTTAAGCCAAAATAAGAAAGATTTGACGATACTTACCTAAATCTATTAAATAATAAAATAAAAATTAGTAAATGGTTAATACTTGTAAATTAATATATAAATAAATAAACAAGTAGTTTATAAATAGAGATAAATAAATGCTTGGCCTGGAGTATTATTATATTTGTAAAGTACAACTGGTTTCAAATAAAAAATTCATCATTAGGTTTAAACAAAGACATTAAATTGTGACTACCCAATTTTCAATGGTAATTTTACTAACAAATACTTAACAAATATAATAATAATCTAGAATAAGCATTTATTTATTTATTTATTTATTTATTTCTATATACTATTTGCTTATTAAATTATAAACAAATTTTTTTATCTTGGATTTTACAGAATATGAATAAAATATTGCATAAGTAAAGCAATTAAAACTAATGTATAAAATCAATATCTACTAATACCTAAACCATGTGGTCAAGTGTACTAATAACCAATGTGAAATATTATAAATATAAACAAAAATAGTATAGTACAGTAAAATTGTAATTCAATAATTTTAATAATAAGTTTTTTAAAAGTATTTTAACATTGAACTTACCGTTCACTTTTATGCTTATGTTTCTTTTTCTTTTTTTTCTTATCTAATCGACTGTTATCGATGATTTTTACAGAATCTGCAGATGAATCTTCAGACAAACTGTCAACTCTAAATTTGTTATTCAAAAAATGTCGTTCAAAATAAAATGAATAGACCAATCGTTAATTGTAAATTATCGAGTTCAATACTTACGCCATGTTTGTTGAAAGAGAAATGAATCACTTGAAATTGTTATAAACAGTTCGTTATAGGAATTATCACGTTTTATGAAAATGCAAAACTGAATAACAAAAAGGGAAAATAGTTATCAACAAAATAAAATATTCATAACAATAATATAAAGAAATGGAAAAAAAAATGACCGACAAATAGTTAAGAACAAAATTTAACATTCGAACATCCATTGATGTTCAATGTGGACATGTAGTATAGAGGTACCTACCTAGACCCATTATTTGTTTACGATAAGTTTTGGTGTTTTTAGTATTCAGCTAAGTAATGAAAATATAGAGTGACCAACATTCGAATACATCAAAATGAGGTCATGTTTATAAGAAATATTCAATTTTTCAAATTCTATTGTTTGAATAATTTTTAATACTTTTTGATGTTTTTATTCAGTTTTTTAAAAATATAATTATACTTTTATGAATATGCTTTAATTTCTCTTTAATAATAAGAATTAGGGAATTAATACATAAATTCCAAGTTCTTATGGGTGTTCTAACTGAACTCACTGTTATGTTATCAATATTTTAACGTGGAGTTTCCGTTATCACAATTTTAATATTTATGTTATTCTTGTTTAATTTATTATTATTTTGAAAAACAAAACTTTACCATCGCAAAAGTTTAGAAACTTAATGTCCGAATTATATCTTAGTACACCTCTGATTTATTACTTTTTTATTCTTATATTTTATACATTATTACTGTGTTAGTAAACTTATAGAAATTGTTATTGTATTACATTTATTACCTACTGAATTGCAGCATTTTTATACATAATATTTTATATTCTTATTAAATTTAAAAAATATTGCATATTTTAATTGTTTTGTGATAATTTAAAGCTTAACATTTATTTAAAGGTAAATTTTTATCATATAGTTAAATTAGTAATAAAAGGTGATTATATATATATAATTTTATTTTCTATTTTTATTTAAGAAACATTTTAAATTTATTTTTTAATTTTACTTATTATTTTGCTTATGCATGTCACTTTCTCAAGCTTTTATTAATGATTTTTATTATTCAGGATAATTATTTTAAAATTAGAATATTGTATTACCACCAAATCACATAAATAGCAATAAATATAAATTATCAAAGATTACAAATGTAATAACAAAAGGAACTACTTCTAGTATACATTGCCTAGAATAGATAGAATTAGATAGCTAAATAATTATTTAGCCCAATATATTGTGTACAAATAATAATTTAAAGAAACATTTTACTATTAAAACAAGCATTTAATTTAATTGAACTGTAAAATTACCTTCTATTGATATAATTTTGATAGAACTTATATTATTATAATGATTTTGTACATTTTAAATGATCTAGATACTTAAGCATAATTTATTTATTTATTACTTAACAAAGAATTTAAATTTACCAATTTATAATTAGTGAAAAGTTAAAAATAAACAAATAGATTTTAAGTAACTTCATTATTTCAGTGATTCTAGATCAATATGTACTGTAATAATATTACTTATATGAAAAAATATTCATAGATGCTATGTTTTGTATTTTATTGTATTCTTATAAATTTAATTAATACTGTAAAATATTATTATTATAATATTTAGATATATTTAATGAGTATATTTTATATTTTATATTTTTGATGAGTATATTTCACTCGTGATTGAAAATTACCTAATATATTTTTTTAAGTGTCTTTTTTTACATATACCTTAGCAACTAGCTTCCAACAATAAATTAAGTGGTTTTTTTTTTTGCTTTATGGACCATTAAGGCCTTTAATAGCTTTTTATTAATCCTTTCCACACATTTTAGTCTTGATATTTGCCGTTCCGTCTATAATTCTTATATCTGTATTGAATCTATCTTGCTATCATTGTTGAGGTCCCTGGAACGCGCATTATTTGTGGTTTATTGACTAGTACCTACCAAATTATGCTTCCTTCAGCATGCAAATAAAGTGATTAAGTTGCTAACTCAATTGTAAAATAATGAATATATTCCACATTTTTATGCAATTATTATTATTTTATTTCTTTCGTAGAATTTTGAATCTATAGCTGTATTTAAAGTTTTAAGAAATGCATGAACTGTTTACACAAGTATTGAACTACAAAGATTTATCAAAGGTATAATCTAAATTATAGATATTTATTATGTGTTATAAATTAAAATCTTAATTTGCAGGCCGGTGATTTATTTACTGTTTCGGATGATGCTATTGTGAATGATTTATCTGAAGTAATTAATATAATTTGTGAAATCACAAGTCTACCTGACTATGTTAATAATGACAATGATCAAAGTGTTGTTGAAATATGCATCACAAGAGTTACTACTGCAATCAGGTAAAAATTGTACTATAAAATAATTAATTTCAAAATATTTACAATTTCTTCAAAACATTTGTATCTAAATATATTAAATATCTGTTTACACAACAATCAGTTACTAAAAACACCAACATTAAAAATCCTTATTTAATATAAGGGCTTCAATAATAAATAGGTAATTAAATACATTTACTAGAAACATAAATTTCCAAAAACTATTGTATTTTAACTAATATTTTATAAAGTCATGATAAATGTTAAGATAAAGATTTATTTTTTCCAATAATTAAAAATTTTTGAAATAGTTTTTATATTTTATAAACTAATCAAATCTTATTTACATTAATATTTTAATTTTATAATTTTATATTTCAAAAGTTTAAAACAATTTTATATTGTACTCTTAATTTAAAATTTTCTAAATTCTAAGCAAATGTAGATTGATTTAATATTGATTTAACTATCATATAAATTTTTTTTGTGTAATGCGTACAATTTCAACCAAAATAACTCAAAATATAAGATGGAAAATGTGATGAAGTTGATACTTTGACAAATCATTTTATAAATTTATGAACAATTTTCTTAATACTTATGGAAAAAAGATGAATGATGATTTAAAAAAAAAACCATCAAAATTTACATCATAATAGTTTTCATATCAAATTTTTGTTTTCATCATAACTCAAAAAATAATAATAGTAGAAACTTGAAATTTACATTAAATACATCATCATTTGTTATATATGGTATAATTTTCATAAGACTTCTTAGTTATGTTTTTCAAGAATAATTTTCAATAAAAAGTCTATATAATTTAATAAAAAGCTCCTTTTGCATAACTATTATTAATTAACAAAAAAATTTTTTAAATATTTCTTGATATCTGACTCAGAATCATTTTTTTTCAAGAGCAATAGTATATGGGTTTCAAGTTTAGGTTAGTTTAGTTTTAAGTTCTTTAGGTTATATAAGTTATAACTATACAAAAATAATTAAATTATGAATATTAAATATTATTTTATTTACGAACTGAACTGTAATTTATTTATTAATTTTAAAAATATTAAAAATTTAGAGAAACTGGGTCAATGGAACAGCATGCAGAAGCTTTGGTTACATTATTGGAATCATGTCTTAATCATAATCTTAAACCATCACAAAAAGAAGAAGATCCGCCTCATGCTAAAATATCATCAGACATAATATCTTGCATGTTTCTTGTTCGTATAAATTTATATTACTAATATAGATTAATTTATATTTCAGAAACATTATTTCTAATTAAAAATTTTAACTTGTGTATGTATCTTAATATAAAAATTAATCACTACATTTCTAAATGTTTTCTTAAATTAAATTTTATTTTAGAATTATAGCAAAAAAGAAGTCATGAAAAGAGTATTACCAGTAGCTGTAAAATTTTTACATAAAGGAAATAAAGTATTATCTAGAAACATGGCATCATATTTATCTCTAGCAGCAATTGACAATTCTCCATTGCTATCAAATCATATACAATTAATAATAGATTCTATAATTTCAGGTTGGTTTTGAAACATCATATTAATTTAATGCTAAACCAAATACATTCGACTGATTATGTTATATTTTATTTTAGGCAACTATCCATTATGTCGAGTTCTTCCACAAATTTATGAAGTGACAAGAGATCCTATTCATGACCACGCCATGGCTTTAGTTTCATTACTGCCATTATGTGAACTCACTGAAAAATTGGCTTTATTACAACTTTGCTCACTTATAGCCAATAATAAACCATCAGTTCGTATAATAATAAAATATAATAATATTCAATTATTATAGATAACATATATTTTATAGTTATTAGAAGCTAGTTTACCACAATTATGTGAATATTTATGCATATCACAAACAGTTGTTGCTACATTGCAAGTTTTTCTTAATTTAGCTAAAAATCAACCACAACTTTTATCTGATTATGTTTTGAAAATTAAAAAAGCTGCCGAGTGTAATCCAAATGCTCTATGTATTGCTGCTCAAGTTTTATCGGCTGTTGGTAAAATAAATAAGGTTTGTACTATTAATATTTATGTAAAAATTGTCTTAATTGTTTATAAAAATATTTTTTTTACATAGTCAAAAGCACAAGAAGCATTAAATTTTATTATGGATCATTTACCTAAAGTAGATCGAGGAAGTCAAAGTCTATTAGTGCGTGAAGCTACATTTCTATGTTCTTGTTTTCCAATATTATTTACGGATAAAATTTTAGAAGGAGTCTTACAAATTAGCAGGAACACTAAGTAATCATTATATTTATTATTTTTAATTAAAAAAAGGTATTTTATAAAACGTTTTTTTTTTTAGTTCTCATGTAAATCAGATTTCGGGTGGTGTAACAATAGTTAAAGTTGGTGGAAATCAATCACCAACTAATTCAAATATTACTAGACCAACTCAAACAGATAATAATGGCAGAAATTCAAGGTTTATTTTGATAAATACTATTTATAATCAATTACTTATAGGAATAATACAAATTTTTAAATAGAATTGTGATTACTCCAAGACCTAGATTAATGGCCGATAGTCGTAGCACAGGAAGATTACAGTCATCAAATGCTCATCGTAGTATGACACGTTTAAATGCTGGTAAGCAAAACAGTTTTAGGTTAAACAGTAAAAACTCAAAACTTAAGATAGAGAAATAAAATTAAGTTTTGAGAAATTCCAGGTACATATATATTAATATAATGTAATGTAAATAATATAATATAATGTATATTAATAATATAGTAATATTAAACTATTTTGTGACAGTGTTACAAAATAATTTTTAAACTTAAGTTATGCATTTTAAAATTTTGAAGTAAATTAAATTTACTAACTGTTATTTGCAGTATCTGGTAGTCGAGTTGGATCAGTTGGAGGTTTGCATAAAAGTATGACTAAACTAAGTTCTAATCAAGTTTGTATTGCTAGTACATCAAATCGTAATAAACCTTCTACAACTAAAATATCAAGTGGTGGAGTAACAGTTACAACACCCTTGTAAGTTGTAATTTCATAATTTCTATAATTTATTAATTTACATATTTATAAAATAATTATTTCAGAGGGACTGGGAGTATAATAACTACAAATTTCAATTACAGTACTACCTCTAAAGATTCATTAGGTAATTCAATTAGTCAAACTTTGACTGGACGTGTACAAAACTCAGTATCTCGACCTTTGAGTACTGCTGGCAGTTCTCCGTTAAATCAAAGTCTAACATCCCAAGGGCACATCCAATCAAGTGGACCTAGTCTTAATGTTGATCCTGTTGGTATTAATACCGGTATTTATTCAACTGTTACTCCACGACGAAATCACAATACAAGTGTTACAATCATCAACTCAAGTGTTTCTCAAGTAATTCAACAATATATAAAATAATAATAAATTCTGATTCTTTTCTTGATTATTTTACTTAAAATTTTGCATTTAACACTATGTTATGTTTTAGAGGATAAGTGTATTCGAGCCATATCCAATGAGGGACACTATGCAACACTTCTGTGAAAAACATTTAGATAAAATTAAAGCTTATATGGAGAAAGTTTCAGTTAGAATTCCACCTCCTGCTAAATGTACAATTGAAGGTTTGTGTTGATAAATCTATATTTTGAATATCATTGATTTTAAAAATATATCATATAAAATTTAGAAAGAAGAGCAAAAAAAACAGCTAAACTGCATTTTGCATGTGAAGGTCGAGGTGAACATTGTCTTTACAACCGTGCTCTTTTTACTGTACGTACAAGGCATCCACGTGTTTGGATTCATCTTATGTTTCTTGCACTTCAAGCTAGATCATCATCAGCCCTTAGTTCACGGCATCCTTCAGTCAGTGCCTTAAAGAACTGTTGGGATATTCTTAAATGTGAAACTAGACCATTTTTAACATTAGTAACCTCTGCCTTTCCCTGTGCCAAAGATCAAGATGCTGTCTTAAATGAACTTCGTAATAGTGGTTACTTTGATGTATTTGAACATTGTAGTTTAAATGCTGGGGGTTGGGGTTGCTTTTTGTGCAATCATCCAGAACGAGCTGTTGGATTTTTACAAGATAGTCAACCGGTAATTGAAGGTCAACTTAAAGAGAAAAAAGGAAGGTGGAGATTATTTAGAAGATGGAGAACGCGATATTTCACTCTATCTGGAGCGCATCTTTCATATAAAGGCTCAGTAAGTTAAAATTTATATTTATTACAAATTTATTTCACTTGAACAATTTTAAAAATAGTATAATTTTAATGAATTAAGCCATTCCTTAAAAGCAATTGTTTCCTGACCTTTCTTATATACACTTATTAACTGAATTTTATTTACCACTATCAAAGTCTAAAATTAATATTAGATAATATGCCACTTATCTATGAGATCGATAGAGATCTATCTATTCACAACTTATAAAAAGTAAAATAGTTATTTTTCAACGAATTTTTAATATTTTTATATGATGATTATTGAAGAAATATTTATTTTAATTCATGTTTTCATATTTAATATTCTGATAAATAAAGTTAATATATTGAAATATTTTATATAGTTTCTAACACTTAATAAAATTAATTTTAAATACATATAGATAATTCATATTTTATACATAATTTTATATAATTTATTCTAGAAAAATGATAAAGAAGGAACTCCTATTGATATTCATCAGATTCGTAGTGTAAAAGTAAGTCGTGGTGCTCGAAACATACCAAAAGCTTTTGAAATATTTACTGGAGAAGAATCTCTTATATTAAAACCTAAAGGTGGTAAAAATGCTGAAGAATGGGTTCAGTGTTTATCAGTTGTTGTGGCACATTCACATTCAAAAGATACCACAAATTCAAAAAATTCAAGTTTGGTTAGAACTACTATATGAATACCTACAGTATTATACTTATTGCAATAAAGTATTTATAAAATTTATTTGTAGTTCTTATATTGTTAAGAGAAATGTTTAAGATGCCAAGTAAGTTTTACTTAATTTCGACAATTTTTTTATAAAAATAATAAAAAAAAAATACCTTTACATTATTATTATTATTAAACTATTCTATATTTTTAATTGGTTATTTTTTTTTTTTTGTTTTTGTATGTGCAATGTAATATCATTCTGTACACGCCATAAGCTTTAGTGATATTACACTAAAATTTTCCTTTTATACAAAATTATTGAAATTCTTATCAAAACAAGAGATACATAATCATAGACAATTGTTAGTGGGGACTTAAGCCCTCCCAAACATTTTTTATGCCCCTTTCCAGAAGGTTCAAGTTCTTACAACATTTTTCATTAATTTTCCAATCCTACCAAATCATAATTTATTCGTATGAATCATTTTATCAAAAATTTACGTTTTTTTCTATCAATTCTCAACAGTGATAAGTTATATTTCAATAACTATTAACGTGCGCATGTAATTTTGTAAAATATTGGTAAAAAATAAATGATGTTCTGTAACAGAAAAAATTAAATTAAATTTTTTAAATTTTCATGCAAAAATTTGTTATAATAACTATAGTGACTATAAAAGTACAAATCATAAATAATTAAAGCTATCTCAAAAAAATATACGAGTATACAAGACTCAAGGAAAACATTCATTGGGACTAATATAATAATAGTAATAATTGTTTTATACATAGAATAAATGTATAGCCTGGAATATTATTATATTTGTAAAATATAATCGATATCAAGTTAAAATTTAATGTCGGGTATATACAAAGTCAATAAAATCGCGATATTTTTATAATTTTAAAAATTAAAACATGCCTTGGAACTACAATGATTCAGAAAAGATTTACAGGTACCTTCATTTTATGTATAGAAAAAAATATTTTAAAATTGATTGATACAGAAAAAATTGAAAATTTATTTGCAGAAAAATATTAATTTAAGGGTACCAATAACAATAAAATACATAGTAGATATCAATCATTTATATATTTTTTTTTATTACACTAATACTTTTATGTATTTAATGCCTAACACAGTTCAGAAAGAGGTAAGTAGTTGGTTGTAATGCAAAACTTGAATATTGAGTATGCTCGAGGGCTCAACATTTTTACTTAACCTTAGTTCGAGCCCCCTTAAAGATATGACTAAATATTCGTCTAAAAACAATTAATAATTACTGAATTTGTTAAGTGGTTTCTTAAGAAGTATTAAGGATTAGTGGGGTGTACCCACCATCAACGATTAGTTACTATTTTTTTCACTCCTTACGAAGTTGCAATCTTTTATATAAAACGTTGTACGATGTGTACACGAATACGTTTAAATACCAAATGACAGTATTTTAGACAACGAGATTAGGTTACACAATTTCCTGCGTGTACGCTCCGGATAATATTTGTTTCAAAAACCAGTTATCAAAACGCGTACGCTAGCGTTAAAACGCATACCTACCTAGTGTGTAATAAGAAAGGATTTTTCGAAAATCCCATATTAAAGGATCGAAACAGTTTTGAACTGGATGCATACATTTTTTATTTTTTGGTTACCTAGGAAATATTTGATTTGTTTAATATTTTGATTTTAATAATTACCGATTAAGAATTATGAAAATTATTAAAATCGCAGTTTCCAGCGCGACTCAATTTTGCAATGATCATTAACAAAACACAAGGATAATTAAAACAAATATGTGAACTGAATTTTGAAAATTCATGCTTCTCAAATGGACAACTGTGTGTGTCCTGCTAATGCATCAGAAAATCTTCCTATTTACTTTGTTCACACTACAAAAGGAAAAACATCAATTATAGTGTAATCCAAATACACTACAATAAATAGCATATATTTGAAACCTCGAATTGTCAGACTTCTCGATAAAATGATTAAATAAAAAAAATAATGATCCAAAATAAATTAAACATTGCTGTAAGTTAATAAGTATATGTCTAAATATAGCACAGCAAGGCGTGATAGATATGGCAATATTTAATATTTACATATTAAAATACATAACAAAATATTATTTCAACCGTTATTTCGGGTGATTTATATTTGAAAAGGCATAGGTTGTATGAGTACACCCAAAAGCAGTTGAAAACTCAAAATTTTCTTAATGGGCAAAGACAGGTATAACTCATTCACTGATCATCACTACATCTCAAAACAATATGAAGTTTAAATTTGAATGGTGATCTATCCAATATTCAATACATGGAATAAGAAGGGATTTTAAAAATATTGGAACCAGCAAATACAGTAATTCAGCGTACCACCAAAACAATTATACCGATTCATTTGAAATATTATATTTGTTAAATAACCACCAACAGTTACACCAACAATGGATTTAAATAAAGTAGGGTAATAAACAACCTACGCCACAGCCAAGAATGTCCCGTGCGAAGGCAGGTAAATAAACTAGTTTTTAAATACAATTAGAGTGATAATTTTTAAATTTAATTATACATCATAATTATGAACGGGATTTAAAGAGTATATTCTAATTAGTTAAGATTTAAGATATTTTATGTAAGTTAAATGAATTAAATTATTATTCCATTATCTATTGATGGTATAAAAATCAAAAAAAATTAACTGGTTCATAGTTCTAGACGGACAATTTCATTATGTAGCAACAAAGAAAAATCCAAGTTTTGAAAACAAACATATTAGATTTACTAAGATTTTTTATGTGAATTAAATGAATTTGATTTTTATTCCATTAAATATTTAATGTATAAAATTCAACAAAAATAAATTATAAATGGTTACCCAGCGCTCAAAGGCCATCTCCTATAGGTTGAGACGATAAGAAATCCAAGTTCTGAAACGAAACATACCTATAAGGATTTTAATATTATTAGTTAATTGTAGTCATACGATTCAAAAGATCTAAAATATTTTATGTAAATTAGATTAATAATATTTTTGTACCATAAAATATTTAAAGTGACGAGGTCAAAAGAAGAAACGAAAAGGGGATCCCCGGCTCCCGGAGGAAAATTGATTTGGGTCGATCCAAAAAAAAAATCCAAGTTCTGAAAAAAAAA